CCCCTGTCTCTGCCTCTGCCCCTGCCCCTGCCCCTGTCTGTCTGTCTGTCTGTCCCCAGCGATGGCAGACGCTGTTCTAAAGGAGCCTCCAGGTGAGCTGTTCTAAGACCCTCAAGTAGACACTGTTACTCCATGTTACAGAGGCCGTCACAGCTGAGCTGGGACGTGGCCCGTGTTCCGCCACCACACCCCGCAGCTCCTCCTTTGAAGACAGAGGCTCCGAGAGCCTTCTCACCCCTTTGCCAAGAGCCCCCGAGACCCTCCCACACCTCACAGGCGCTGTCAGGCCGGCGCAGCCGCCACCTTCCTCACAGCCCTGGGTGGAGAGAAGCCGTGGCAGGCGCTGCTCTTCGAGGAAGCCCTGGCCAGGAGGCAGGGCCTTGGAGGGGCAGGTCCCCAGCCGCCCCTCTTCAGTGTCATCAGTGTTCACCTCCCGGCAGCTCCCCCTGCGCCCCCAACCCCCCCCCCAGCTCCTGTCTTGGCAGCTCTACCTTAAACAGGGGTGCATTTGAGAAACTTAAGTAAGGAAGTCGGGGTGCACATCTTCCATTCTGGTATAAGTTAGCACAGCCCCCCGAATGCACATGGCACCCCCTCCACACACCATCGACACTCGCTCCACGATAATGAAAAGCCCGCTCTCCACCCTGCGCCCCTCCAGTGCCCTTCCGTGTGGCCCCTGGCCCTGGACAGGTGCTGCCCAGTCCGATTGCCCGTCACCCTGCCCGGGACGGGCCCTGCCCCTTCGGAGAGCTCACCCTTCCCCCGCTCTGCGTTTAGGGACCATCACGTTAGACCCAGCAAGTCACCAAGGCCCAGGCTGGGACTGTGGGCGCAGCCCCTTCACGCCCCAGATGAAGCTCCGTTCGAGCTGAACATCACCCTCTGCTTCCCAGAGAGTCCCTGCTCCCACCCGCTCAGTAAAGAGCAAGAGGAGGAGGGAAGGAGGGGAAATGAGACCCAGGAGGTTAGAGCTCCTGAGGAGCGTCCCTCAGGGCAGAAAGGGGGCCCAGGTGAGCCAAGTCCCGGGAGCCCAAAGGGGGCCCAGGTGAGCCAAGTCCCGGGAGCCCAAAGGGGGCCCAGGTGAGCCAAGTCCCGGGAGCCTTGGTGGGGCCCAGGTGAGCCAAGTCCCGGGAGCCCAAAGGGGGCCCAGGTGAGCCAAGTCCCGGGAGCCCAAAAGAGGAGCCTGCCTGCAGCAGGAGGGGCTGTGGACAGACCCCAGGAGGCCCCCCAGGCATGCAGCCGACTCAGCCCCACAGTAAGTGCCCCAGGCGGGTGGGAATCCCCTGGGTCTGAAAAGCACACCGTGAACCGTGGAAGGGCTAGGAGTCTGGGAGGATGGCCAAGACAACCCAGCAGCCAGCTAAAGTCCGAGGCTCCGTGAGTCTCAGACCAGCAGAGGTGACACCGAACAGCATACGGGTCCTGGCTGGGTGCTCCCAGGCCACAGGCGCCAGCCCGCACCCAGCCACACAGCCCGGGTGCTTCCAACAGACCCAGGGCCGGTCACCTCTCCTCCCTGGGAGGGTCCAAGAGGTCTTGACCTCAAGCAGTTTCTCAGTAGAAAAGGCACCTTCGGATCTCCCACCCCCGAGGCCCCCAGGGGGCAGGGCCCCGCCCGCCCGCCTCCAGCCCAGCCCTGCCTCCTCAGCGACTCACCGGGCGGCTGTCCCTCTCCATGGCCTCCCCGGGATGAGGCTTCCAGACTCAGCTGATATCAATAAGAAGGTCCATGTTGGCCCCTGGCTCCTCGGGCATGTGGGGAGAGGGGGCTGGAGGCCGAGGGCCGGCCCGCCAGGTGGGGTGGGGAAGCCGGTGAGTGTGAGGTAATCCCAGGCACAAACAACAGGGCAGAACTAGCCAGACCTGTCCCTCACCCTCCTCCGAGGCATCCCGGTTACTCAGCGAATGCCAAGGAGTGCAGGCTGTCTCTCCTCCTGAACCTGCCCCGCAGAGGCAGCTGTGGGGGGACCCGGGTTCCAGAAGCCTCTGTAGAAGGAGATTCTGAAAGAAGGGCCAGGCCCTGGGAAGACATTCTAAGCCCAGTTAACCTGAGCCCCTAAAACAGGTGCTCTCGAGCACCCAAAGGTACCACCTGTCCCCAGAAGGGGATGCCCACACCCAGGGACCAGGATCGGGCAGTGCGAACCTTCACCTTGTGAGGGAAAAAAGGCCACACGCTAACCTGACCAGCTCAGGGGAGGCCTGCATGGCGGTCTTGCAAACTCAGAGACCTAAAGTCACCAAAAGGATGGTCTGAAATTAAACTTTAACTAAAAGCAGTGATGGTGGGTAGTCACCTCCTAGGCCAGTATCTTTCCTGACAAAGTCAACCTTTACCTTCACTGAGCCTATTGCCTTTTTGCATCTTCTAAGATAACATACCTATGAAATGTCAGGGTAACTTGTAACTCCTCCCCTCACCCCCACCCCTGGGGCACAGCCAAATGCTCCTGGGAACCAGGGCAGAGACCATAAATTCCTTCATTGTCATTGGGGATGTTAACTCTCCTGCACCCACCTAAGTAAAAGAAGTATGTGTCTATCATCTTACTTTTATCCAATCCCAAAGGTTCCCCCACCTTTGCTTTCTCCCGCCTCCCTAATCTATCACCAATGGATTTCATGTCACCCACTCACCCCCCTCCTTTGCTCTAAGGTATAAAACGAGGTAAAACCGTGCCTTCTTTGGAGCGTGATCCCAATCCTTTGAGATTCTGTTTCCCGGCAATTGTGGACAGTTTGGCTCAAATAAACTCACAAAAATTCTTTACAGGTTTCAATGTTTTCACGTTAACAACCTCTGAGGACCACGTGTCCAAATCCCAAAGCAGGGCAGGTGGGCTGGCGATTTTCTACAAAAACGCCAACAAGGAACTTAACCCAAATGGCTGCTAACAGTGCCCCTGATGAATTGTGTCCATTGACAACAATGAAATGCTCTGAGACAACAGGCCAAAGCCAGTTAACGAAACCTGCAAACACCTGCGTGGAGACTGCTCCGAGCCACACCGGGCTGACTCGGGCCCACACCTGTGCCCCTGACTCCGTCATGAAGGAGACGCCGCGGGGGTGCTCAGCCCTCCACACCCTGCACAGCTGCCGCTGGGAGCAGCGGGCGCAGAGGGAGCACCCCACCTGGCCGGGCATTTGCGGGAGGAGAGATGGGGAACTGCGGATCTTGGAGACAGAAGGAGGCCCAGAGAGCACCGGTGACCTGGTCTCCTGGTTGACGGAGGAGAAGCCGTGTGCACGGCCGCGTTCAGCAAACAGCAGCCGCTGCCGAGACGGCCAGGTGCAGTGGCCTCCTGGATGCCCCCTGCAGCCCTGCGAGCGCCCTCACTCGCTCGTGCAGCACACACCTATGCAGGGCTCTGACGTGCCTGGCGCTGCCTGGGCGCCGGGGACACAGTGAGCGGGGAGGGCAAGGACCCTGCCCTCTGTCCTTAGCAGCGGGCACACAAACATAAAGAGCTAAGTAGGTGGACAGACAGACAGACAGTCCAGAGCAGGGAAGGGAGTGGGAGGGCTGGCAGGGGCAGGGTTGCAGGTTGAAACTCCCTGAGGTGACATTTAAGCAAAGACTTAAAGGAAATGACTACCACCCCCATTTGCATGTGAGCATGTTAGCTCAGCTTGGAAGTTGCCGGGTGACCTAATCCAGAGTAGGGGACCCGGGCCTCCAGTCCCAGGGTATTTGGGGCGTCAGTTTTAGAACTCAGCCCCAGGACACACCCCTCCTTGCTCCCTCCCCAGCAGACAGACCCTCCTCTCCTCTGGCCCTAGAACAGTGGTTCTCAACCTTCTGGCCCTTTAAATACAGTTCCTCATGTTGTGACCCAACCATAAAATTATTTTCGTTGCTACTTCATAACTGTAATGTTGCTACTGTTATGAATCGTCATGTAAATATCTGATATGCAGGATGGTCTTAGGCGACCCCTGTGAAAGGGTCATTCGACCGCCAAAGGGGTCGCGACCCACAGGTTGAGAACCGCTGCCCCAGAAGGTGCTGGAATTCATCTTGTGCTGCTCCTCTTCCTCCCTCTTACGGGGGCTCAGCAGGGCGCTCCCCGGAGCTGCAGCTGTCCCTGAGCCCTGGTTTCCATTGCCCAGGCCTGAGGAGCCTCCCTCTGTCCCTGGGCAGGCGCCTGGCCTCAGGGTCACCTTGAGCCTCACTCCTGTGACAGCCCACTGACCTCTAAGAAGAGCCAGGCCTGGAGCTGGGCCGGAGGGGAGCCCTGTGTCCGAGGTGTAAGGTGCGGCCAGCTCGTGAACTTGGGGCATCAGAGTCCCAGCTGGGAATGGTGATGACAGCCGACCAGGGATGTCTGGCTCTGCAGGGGGATTGGCTTTATTTCTTGCTCTGCTCCTTGGCCCCACCCAGAGTCCTTGCGGACCAAGCCATCGATCAGACCCATCAGAATTCCCATCGGCCCTGCTTCAGTTCCATAAGCAGTGTGACTGCAGCAGCAGGCCTCATGCGGCTGCAGTGGGCACAGAGCAGCCAGGCCTCACAGTGGCCACAGGATGGCACAGAGCAGCCAGGCCTCACAGTGGCCACAGTGGGCACAGGATGGCACAGAGCAGCCAGGCTTCACAGTGGCCACAGGATGGCACAGGGCATCCAGAGCCTTGCCTTGGAGAACTCCACGTTCAGCTGGCCCTAGACAAATGCAGGGCGGGGCACCAGGGCTCCCACAGTTGAAAATATGAACATAACATGACTCCCCAAAATATGGTTAACACAGGTTGTGTCTGTGACCTGTATTGTATCTGTTCTTACAGCAACGTGAGCTAGAGAAAAGGACAGGTCACTCAGCATGAGGCAGAGGGGCACCTGTGCAGGCCGTGCACTTTGCTGTGCCGCCTGGGAGAGGCTGCTTGTCACTGGGGTCCTCTGTCCAGAGTCCTCCTCATGAGCCTCATCCTGCTCAGCTCCCCCATGGAGCCCCTAAGTGCCTGCCTCCTCTGCCCCCCACTCTGGGGTCCTCACTGCTCAGAGCACAGGGAGGGCTCCCTCCAGCCTGAGGGGGACACAGAGGAGCAGCTCCCCCCTGGGTGACCCCAGCTCCGCCTCCTGCCCAAGCCCAGAGTCCCCTCTGCCCCACCCAGCAGGGCTGCTGCGCAGGCCCCGGCCCTCGGCAAGGGGCCCCTGGTTGTTGTAGGAGTAGTCCAGGTCGGGGAGGGATTATTTTTTAAGCCAAGAGAAAACCACCTGTGAGCCTAAGTGGGGTCCCAGGTCCCCAGCTGCCTCTCAGGCACCCTAAGGCCCGGACCCTGCTGGTGGCAGCGTGGGCCCCTCTCTCCCGCGGACACTGGGCCCCTTGGCTGGGCATCGGTGACAAGGGAGGGAGGCTCAGGAAGAAGCCAGAGGATCCACGTGGGGGAGCGTGGGGTTGGCCAGAGGGCCGGCTGCTGCCCCGCAGTCTGTGCCCGAGAGTCCGGAACCCTAAACCCAGCAGCCAGCATTTCCCCTTCTGTGTCCTGTTCAAACCCCCTCTTCTCCCGTGGTTCTCATGGTTCTTCCGCGTCATCAAAGTCCATGATCAGATGGGACAAGTCAGGTACGAAGCCTCCGTCAGAGCCCCTGGCACCGCCCCAGGGAAGGTGGGCGGTGAGCCACGCGGACCCCAGGCCAGAGCAGCGGAGCCTCTCCCAGATGCCCGACCTGGAAGCGGCCCAGCGGTGCCCGGGGGCTCCAGAGAGTGGAAAGTGCCACCGTCCATCCATCCTGCTTAGCTGCCACCTGTTTCCGGAGGATTGACAGCCGTTCCTCCTGGGGTCACCCACCCCCGTTCCCCCGGAGTCTCCTTCCCTCCATGGGACACACAGAGTGAAACCCCACTGCCCGGCAACAGCCCTTCCCACACTCCAGGCAACAGCATGCTCACCTCCGGAGTCTGCTTTCCCACCCAGCCACCCGGCCCTTCACTTCCCCTGGCGGGAGGCAGTGAGGCCATGTTAAGTCCCCTCACCTCCATGGGTTTCTCCAGAACAGACAGGTGGTCACCCCGGCCCTGCTGGGGGGTGGCCCGGGCCCCCAGTCGTGTGCACATGGCTGCTGCTTCCGGTAAAGCCTCCAGGTGCTCTGGGCCCACCTGCTGGGCTGCTGGTTCTCGCGGAGCTGATGCAGCCACAGGTAGATGACGACCTGACAGGCAGGGGGGTAGCCCTGCACGCAGCTGCCACCTGCTCAGGGAGGGCGATGAGGCGCTCGATGCTGATGCTGTGACCAGAGACCCGCATCCAGGCAGGAGCATCCGCCCCTCTCCCACCCACCTGAGGAGCCGCTCCGAGGCCCTGGGACAGGCAGGGAGGCGGCTGTCGGCTGTCGGGAGAGCCCCAGGCCTGGGACCAACCCCCAGAGCAGGGGGCACGGAGCAGTCTGTGGACCAGATCTCACCTCAGACAGCGACGGAGCCACAGCTCTTCCAGGGACGGCCTCTGTGTCCTTGGGGAGTGTCCATCTCCGACCTCAGTTTCCTTATCCATGAAATGGGAATGATGGCTCCTCTCCAGTGGAGGATTTCTATCCACGCAGGGAAATCATTTGTACAAAATCCTTGGCACAGGACCTGGTACGTGGTGCCCATCGATAAATAGTGGCCACTGTGATAGGATTATCGTTCCTAAGGTTGCTTGGAAACAGAGGCTGAGCAGGTGTGGGGAGTGTTAAGATCTGGGCTTTGAGCCCTGGGCCGAGGTGTGGATGGGCCTCGGTTGGGCTCTGCTGCTCTGAGCCTCTAACGCCCCCCCCCCCCCCCCCCCCCCCCCCCGCCGCTGGCCTAGGGCTGCCGTTTCTTGCTTCCCAGCCTCT